GATTTTTTTGTATTATTCATAAAAGTTTTGTTGGATATCTTCTTATTTCGACATGTTAGATTATTGAAACTCTTTTCTTACCTTCCCCATTTCGACATTCAATTGTTCAAGGAATGATTAATAATTCGTTGAACATTCGGCACAAATGGAAACTAGACAAGGCTTACACAAAAAAATATTTTCTGGTAGTTTATGTACTTAAGAACTCAATGCCTTACCATTTTTGCAATAACTCAAATTTGGTGTAATTAGGGTCCTGATTTGTGGATACTCGGGTTATGTTTTCTACTCAAGCCACACCAAATGTTTGTTCTAAAGAGTAGGACTTCGATTTTTAATTCAATATCCTAGTGTCTTGGGTAGTCCTAGGAAGTTTTAGACCACAATCCACCCCCACACCCCTCTTCACTTGAATGTTCTAGCTACACCACTAAATTAACTTAAATTACCTTGATTCGAGTTCAATGATATGATTATTAAGCTTGAAAAGTACATTAGTTTTGTTTTTTGCTACAAAAAATATTCTGAAAATAGTTTGCATGTAAAACTAAATTTGTTAAGTCCAAAAACATGAAATTTGAATTTTAAATTTTATTATAATAATAACGCTGATGGTTTTTCACGTATGAACGGAGTTAAAACATAAAACAAGAAAAAATTGATGTGTAAGACAGAGTTGTAGGCAGGAGAGTGGAACTATAAATATTGAGATTTTTACCCTAGCAAGCCTCTAGATAATTAAAAAAATAATATCCATCCAGGGATAGGGAGGGTCTTCCGTCAACTACATCTCTTATTAACAAAAATAAATTACTCTTGCTTATTAAGAACTGATTGGAATGAGATGATTAAAGTCGTAAATGAAACAATATTGGATGCTGATTTACCTTAAATGTATAAACAACTTTGTAAGGTTAATAAACCAAAATGATCTTTAATTCTTTAAAATGAAAAACGCAAAACTTATCAAGTCTCTCATTTTCTTCATCATTTAGGAATTTCTTTCAAGTCTATCAAAAATTCATTGACCTTCAGTGCCATAAGTGTTTCATTACTGCACAATTTACTTCTTCTTGACATAATAAATTAATTTTATTTCTCACTGACATACGTTCATGATCCAGATGATCATCTTCTCACAATTTCCTCATCTTTATATTATTTTTAATTTTTCGTAATGAAGATGAAAAGCCAGTCATCGATCTTAAGTTCATAGAAGACAAAGAGAATATTTCATGTACACGTGAATCCTCAAGGAAGACGTCTGAGACACAACACAATATTCTTTGTGCTTGTTATTATATTTATTTGTATCGCCATTTGGCTTGAACTTGACGGGACCGACAGCATAATCTAAAAATATTTTATTTTCAACTTTACATACTTAAAAAAAAATGCGTTTATTTCTATTTCTATTTATAAATTTCAAGAGTTTTTTTCAAATGGCAAGAGTAAGATTTGAAATAGACCTCATTCTGCAACGAGGCATGAATCATTTCAGCTTTATTGCTATGAATATCACTTACAAGATGCGAATTTTTTTCTTTTCAATTCACTTTATTTATTTACTCATTTATATTTTATTTTGTGGGTCAGTGTTCATTTATTTTGATGAATAAATGCAAAAACAACAAAAAGTAAAAAATAATCATACATATATTGTAAAAGTATAAAAATAATACACACAACGTGAATCAGATGACTTTCAACATAAACAGTGTGTATAAAAAAGAAATATAAATGTGTGTATACATCGCATCAACTAACCTACGGTAATAATTATGAATTTGTGACCTGGCGAATGTGAATGAGAGGAGAGGAAAAGAAGAGACTTTAATATGAAATAAATGCTTAAGCACCTTATCATGTCCAGTGCACTGAGTGTTGTGATATAAATTTATATGTTATTTGATTTATTACCAATAGCAGTTTAGGGGTTTGTTTGCAAATGATGTCCATCGATAAATATGATTTTTACACAACCCCCCTCCCCCGCTGCTTTTAACATTGATGACAATAAGAGCCCTCGATTATAATATGAACCTTCCATCTTAATCAAGAAATTGGAAAACTTCTTTCTCGCCTTACCAATTGTTGAACATAATTTATAAACAACTCCCATCTTATCTACTATGAAAATAAACAGCAATAAGATATTATGTGAGAAATTCATGAGCATGAAGGTCACCATTTCTTCTTTAAATACGGATTCAATTCCTCTGACAATTTTTCTTCTTATTTTGACATTTCTTTCATTTCTACCTTCCATTCATTTCGTTAAAATTTCTCTTATTTTTGTCTTTTGTGAAAATGAAATAAATAACAGAACTGAATAGTGAGATAAATACTTGTTTAACAGAAGCATAACAATAATAATACCTAAAGACAGAAAAGAGTGCTATTGAGAATATTTTGAGGACACATTCAGCTATTTTGTATCGCTTTTGGAAGTGAAGTTTCTGGAAGTTGAAACTAGAGCTCGAAGTCAACTCGAGAAAAGTTGAGTCAACTCGGTTTTGAGTCGAGTCGACTCGAACCCTATCGACTTTGAGCTCTGGTTGAAACAAATCTTTTGAGATCCTTGTCCTTGTTTGTCACGAAATGTTAAGAGGAAGGAAGAAATTCCATTGTTACGTGATAAGCGAATAGGCTGCTCTACAACTCTATTTTCTCTCCTTACAATGTAAACGAAGTGACTAGTACAATAGCAGCAGCAACATTAATGGTAAATAAACATAACAAAGCTGATGAGTGAGAAGCAATAGATAATTAGCTAGTAAATTACTCACAGCTCAAGTTTGTGCAGTGCGTGTATCGATTTAAAAAGACAAGAAAAAATAAAAGAAAAGAGTGAAAAGATAAAAATCAAGCTCTCATGCGTACGTTTGTATATATACAACATTAGTAACTTCCTTTCTTCTTATTTAACAACGAAAATGATATTGAAATGAAAATGTTAAATAAGTCTTGTTCTCTCATTCTCTCATCATATGGTTTCGTTCTTATTCTTTATTGAGAAAGCTAATGACGCATTTCTTTTGCCTTTAAGTTGCGTATGTTCAGTGACGTTTACCTTCATCTATTAATAAACTTGAGAAAAAAAAGGTTATTTTTGAGTTGAAAATATGACTTCTCGGAAACATTATGCATTCATTGGTAAGCTTTTACATTTAATTATTCTACGTTAAGAACATTGAGAACATAGAGGAAGTTAGAATAATACAAAACGTAATCAAGTCGCATATATTATAGTAAAATTTCTCATTTTTTTTACACAACAAGAACTTTTTTTCTGTGCATAAATGAGTGGGGTCGTTCATTGATGACGTCTTTTTTAAAAGATAAGATTTTCAGACCTTCTCCTTATCCGATTTTACAAAATTAAATAAAAAATAATATTGAAGTGACACAAAATTTAAGAGGGGTCTCTCTCCTTAACAAGTGAATGATCCCCAAAAAGAACACACAAAAAATAATATTATTATATCTCATAGCTGTTGTTGTAATGGAAACAACCTCGCGTATGATAATACCATACTAATAAAGAGTTTATTTACCTACCAGTCAACTAATTATTGTTGTTGTCTTTTATGCATATACATACATATCTACACAGCACAGGAGGGCAATCAACGAAGCGAAAAAGCAAGTTTTATATCTGTATACATTAACTTCAGGCTATTGACAGAAGTGTCATCATATTATGTGACTGAATTAAAGCCACGTGCTTTTTGGAGACGATAGATACTAAAGATATATTTGGGTCTCAAGTGATGTACGCAGCAGCCATTTCTTTACGAAAAAACGTGACAAACCCTACGCTAAATCGTGTCTAAATGACGCAAGATGTAATGTGATTGAGATCTTCATTATAATCGAAAAATTGTTCACGTGAATCTAATTGAATTCTGTTTTTGATTCTTAGTGTCTCCATTTGTAAGATATGTTGAGAAAAAAATATCATGTGAATATTCCGCACATGTCAAATGGGTTGTTTTCAAGGTTCGATAAGCCATACCCAATCTCTTGTCGTTGACAATTTTGCAAATCTTTTGTTGATTGAAATTTATTTGATTTTGCCACGAACTTTTGTTCTCTTTACTTAAACATAATGTATGTTATGCAGAGTTAGTGGGGTCGTTCGTGAATGATGTTTATGTAAAATTGGACTTTCTGTTTATAATTGATTTAAAAAGCATTGATTCTTAAACTGTATGCTTTGGAATACTAGTGGTCTGTGAGAAATTTAATGTTTCACAAAATCTCACCCCCTCCCCACCCCAATTATGGTATTCATAAGGAACAACCATTGGTATGGTGGAAATAAAAATGAGGTTATGTGTTGAATTTAGAACAATTTGTCGGAAATACAGAAAGGCTCTATTTGCCTTTCTACATTATTGGCACGTAATTACAGTGGGAAAATATATTTTTCATAGCGCGTCATAAAAACTCTTTTTATTTCGTTACAATATGTCTTAAATGTTGGTATCATTACTGCGAAAAGGGAGAACGTGAAAATTTAAGAATCGATATTTTTTTCACGCTACTGTTACAACATGTACATTACTGCAAACGTATATATAAAAAATATTTCCATATTCATATTCATACTTCTCTTATCAAGCTTAAATGTTTCTCATCATAACAGTGACTTAATGCTTTTTCATGGCATTACTGTTGCTGTGCATAAATAATTTTCACAATAGAGCTTCGCTGAACATGAAAAGAGAAAAAATAGTAATAATGAGAATGACATTAAAATGCTATTAGATTTGCTATTCATTGTTTCGGTATTTTCCAACGATTGTTGATAATATAAACTATAACGAAAGAAAAATAGCTATTAGCATAACACAATTTTCAGTGCATGATTATTGCCATAATTTTTATGCCTTTTTCTTCGATTAATGAATGACAAATAATATTTTTTTCGATTATCATAATTATTTATTCATAGATTAATTAATTAATTTGTATTCTTTTTGTTTTCATTACAGGGCAGTGACAGATCCTCGAGATGGACGTCGAGTGGCACTTAAGAAGCTACCAAATGTGTTTCAATCACTTGTCTCATCGAAACGTGTTTTCAGGGAATTGAAAATGTTGTGTTTCTTCAAGCACGAGAATGTAAGTTGACGCCTTGTTTGCATATCAGGGGGACTGCTAGTCAATTGAAAACAATACAAGCTATTGACATATTCCTCAATCTGATTTGTATTCCCCCTGAGTGCTTTTCTATTATTTATATTTTTGCACATACGAGATTACGAATACAAGTATTAAAGCATATCGATCTCACGTACAGAGAAACTCGTTTCCTTCGCACTACAGAAAAAAACTTTAACTCTTCAAGCAATTTATAGAAAACAAACTCAATAATTATGTAAATTATGGAAACATGAAATCGCACATAGCCGTAAGCTTTAATCTTCACTTTCTTTTGCGGCACGAGATGATGTTGATGGAGCGATAAGAATGGGAATTGGAATACAATTTTTACTGCTTCTTTTGCAACAATGTTTGATTATTTTTTCATATTTATTTCAATTGCAATTTATTTTTACTTTTGATCAGGGGTGTAATTTGGAAACTAGGAACTAGTTTCAGATTTTTTTAAAATTAGGGAGGATGGGTTAAAGGAAATTAGAATCTAATGGATTAGTAGCCTGCTCATAGTGCTTTATTAAATTTTTCTTCGACACAATAATTTCCTACAGCGCTTTTTTTAAATGAAGCTCAGACGCAAATAAAAATGCTATTTCAATAAAAGACTCAAGCAAAAAAAAAAAATTTCTAATTAAAATTTTAATTTTTAGACAGATATTTATGTCCGAAGATAGGATGTGATTAACCCTTAGAATATGATTATGATGATGATGATTTTTCTATTCTGTTCACCTCAATACTATTTATAGCTTATTCATAACTTTATATCTCTCTACACGAAGCTTTCATTATGTCTGAATTAATAATGCGACGTCAATACACGGTAGCAATACTCGTGAACAAGAGGGTGATGTATAAGAATAAAATATAAAGAAATCAATAAAAGCTCTTTCTATGCTGTGTCAGTATATTATATTAAAAAAAAAAGAAAAACCACGGATAAAAGGATTAAATATTCTTTTTCCGTATCTCGGAATGCCAAATGAGAATGAATAGTCATAGTTCCTGCCAAGTATGAGGTCATGATGGAAAGATTTATAATTCCTTTATTAGATTGCAATTTTCATTGTCTTACTTTTCTAAATGAATTAAATTTTCTTTAAATAGGCGCATACATACATAAATCGAGTAGTGCTTCATCAGTTGTGCCTAAAATAGACGCATTGTACTTTATTTTAAGGTAACAATAACCATAATCTGTACCAGAATTAGGCACATAGGCAGGGGGGGGGGGGGATTTGGGTAAAAAATCCGAAAAAATCTTCCTCCCCTCCTCTCTTCAAATTTTTGGCTACGCCCTTGTCCAGAATTAAATAATTATGAAGCATCACCAAAACGATAACTTTAAGTGCTTCAGTTCTCAAAATTGTTAAATAATTAAGCAGTTTTATTCATTATTGTAATTCTTAAAATATTCTAGTTTGGATAAAATGTGGAATGAAAGTCATGAAAATTTCCAAGTAAAGTCCCTTTTACAGCAAAACCAAAGATGCTTATTAAGGCTAGATGAAGCTAGCTTTGGCTAGATGCCAAATAAAACCCTTAATAACGCGGGTTCAAACCATTGTTTCCGCTAAATATTCAATACTGAGCATTAAAATCAAGTTTAAACGATTAAAATCTGTAAATTTGCATCTCCTAGCACAATAAATTTGCAACAATTATCGCACGAATCATCAAAACAAACAATCAAACCACAACTTTACAGTTTAGACGACAATGTTTGCAGTTTAAATAGCAATCAAGTGTTGATGATCTGTAAATTATAAAATAGTTTAATCACAAATGAATTATATACGGATAGACATGAAGCAATTTATGGAATTTTAATTATTTTGTATTGATATATTGCTGACAGGGAGAAACATTCTTTCTTTTCTTTTTTTTTTGCATTCGCTCGATGTCTGCTATTTTATCGCGATGAAACAAAGCATAGCTCTAGTCACACATGAAGCAACTTGAATAAAGAATTACTGCAAAAAATAAAATAACCTGTTAGCGGAAGTCATTGTTACCTTTTTTTTTACATCTGGAGAGAAATTAACTAGACGGAAAAAATTAAAATTGAAAATTATTCAAAATGATTTTTGAAATTCCTGAAATATTTTAATCCCTTCATCACGCTACAGATGCATTCTCACTTAATTGAGGCCTCACACAAAGCAAAAGCAAAAAAGAGAAAATAAGAAAGACTTCTTCTATAAATTAAGTTCAAATAGACAGAAAATGGGAATCATGACAAAACACTTTGATCGACATTATACAATAATACTCGGCATGGGTCCAAGATACATAGACACACACAGATGTTTAACAACAATCAGTTAATGACATAAATCTTTAAATCACACATTTCTCATGAGGCACTCATTGAACTTGGCACTAAAAAAATTTCTAATACATGCACACTTACATACTTTTTTTTGATGAGTTTTTCGAATGCGGAACTAGCTGATGAGAGATATGAGCTTAAAATTTCTTCTTGACGATGAGTTTTTAACGGAATGACGAAAAAGAAATTTTCTTACAAATAGCAACTATTGTAGACGAGACATTAACAATATCATATCAATTTACGAACAACTTATAAAAATGAGATGTGCTAAATTGATTCTTGTACTTGAACAATCTTTATTGCTGTTATTTGTGTGTCAATTTCATTTTTTTATTCTTTATATGATTTATTAGTAATTTTTTTTTGAGTGATAGCATTAACATGTGGTTGAAATGTGGGCCTTATTGTAAGGTACAAAAAATATTCGTGAACTCAAAACTGTTTGATGTATTGTATGCTGTCAAAATCATGGTGCGAAAAATTATTTCGATATTTTTTTTTTGACCGCAATGCTCTAGTAATTTCAATCGATAGTTTCTTTATTAAATGGTGCCGTGAAAAATTTCTGTTTTTGGTCATTACTAGAACATTTGCTGTATCCTGTATATGGCATCAATATCTCTTTGAAATCAAAAGAGGATTAGCACCTGGCGCCACGGTAAAATAAACGAAACTTTCATGGAAGAGAGTGCCAAAAATTATTTTGAGGAGCTCATGATGCTTTCTACATTTTTTATGCTACATCCCTGCAAATCCTTACTTTAAAATCCCTGAAATCTCGCTATTAATTTCAATGATAAAAGCACATTAAGCAGTAAAATTATCGAATAATTTTTCATCTCGTTGCGACAATTCTATTCAATTCCATTCTATATAGAAGTGTTTATAGCATAGATACATATAATAAATTACATTTTTCGTCTCCTTTGATGCTGAAAGCAATACGTGCAATTTATCTTGGAGGTTCTTATAAAAAGCATGTTCGTGCAAATGCCACTGAAAGTGAAGGTTGATCATCACCATCATCATTATATTTAACTCTTTTTTAATATGATTACTAAATGGAATGCTTTTGCTGCACTTGAACGACGTTCCATTTTTATTTTCTTATGTAAGAAATGAGAGAAAAATTAAATTCCAATACAAGAATTAAGTAGCAACAAAACTATTTCTATTAGCTATATAGCGACGCGTAATTTAGCAAAAATTCAATAATACGTTCACTTTAGAGTGAATTAAAGTCATTAACATTCACTCATTCGTAATTGTAACCATTCTTTAATTGATTATATATATTTATCATTGCAGGTTCTATCAGCATTGGATATTCTTCAGCCACCCCATTTGGACTTTTTCCAAGAAATGTGAGTGTTAAAATATGAGTATTTTAATAAGAAATCATCATAAATCTATCTTTTTTTTTGCTGTGTAAATCTGGGCGGAACATTAAGCGACATTGACGACATTGAATATGTAGAAATGAAAGCAAGCAAAAAGAAAAATGTGACAAATGAATAGCTTACATAAAAATATATATTCGGTTTCCTTTGGATTGCAAAAATAATACAGAATTAACGAAAGAACGCTTATCACAAGAATTTTGTTATTAAGCTCTCAACTAACCACAAAAAAAATATATATATAAATTAGTCATTAAGTTCTCTACCAGAACTTAATACCGCAAGTCACCATGTCAAATTATTAATATGAGTTAAAACCTCCATAAGACATTCCCAAAATAATTTGATAATTTACTTTGGGGTTATTCACTGATGACGTCAATAATCCTTTTTTAACACCCCCTCCAGTCCTTTTACAAATAGTTTTTATACAAAACTGTCAATGTCAGAACCTAAATGAAAGCTGTCATAACTGAATGAACCCCATTTCTGTGAAGTAGAAAAGAAAAGTCACAAGTCAAATTACCATAAATATTTTACGCGACAAGTCATTCACGAAAAAAAAAATTATTCTATTCAATTATTTTCTCCTCTCTGCGCTCTGTTTTGTAACTAAAAGTGGTGTGATTCTGTTTGGCATCTAAAAGTAACTCATCTGTTAACAATAATATTGTAAGTTGAAGCATAATGTTCGAGAAAAAAGAAAATAGCACCGCTTGAAATCGTCATGAAATAAAACGGAAGTAATAGTGAATGATATAACAATAAAGTTGAGGATTGTGGCTTGAATAACGTCATATTGTAGACATATACCGAATGATAAGTAGACAAAAATAGTGTAGAAAAATAGAGAAGAGAAGTGTTCATTTCCTTCGACAATAATTCTCGACGTAAAGAATGGAAATTCATAATTTTCTAATAGAACAGTAAATAAGAATTCTTAATGAATAGGCAAACTAGAGAGCTAGCTAAACAGCTTATAAATCAGTCTGCATTAATAAAATTAATGTTTGCAAAGTTCATTTTAGAATAAGAACAAATTTGCGACTTCGTAATTTTCCAAGGGGATAACAACATGATGAGGAAATGTTTTGATTTAAATTTTCTCATAATTTTTATTGCCAATTTTCTAAAAGCATCGATTTTAATTTGTTTAGAATTTGTCATCAAAACCTTTACCCATCAGGTTAATGTCCCCTTGTAATATTCTAGTGTCTCTTTTTACGACATTATAATGTTCTATCTACAAGCTTTACTTCCTTTTTCCTTCCACGAACCTCATACAGCCTTTAAGCTGGCTAATTATAATTAAATTCACTCTCTGAAAGAGCTTTCAAAAAGAATGTCGCAAATTTAATTTCAATGGCGTCTACTAAATGAAATGGGGTCTAATTAAATGGCGGAAGCTCATTCTCATATAAAGGACAGTGAGTGAAATTCTTTTATAAAGTAAACATTACAATGCTCTCGACGATATTATTGAAGACAAACATTTTTGTTAAAAGCTTTTTATTTGCACTATGCATTGCAATGAATGATACATGTCGAGTCAAGTTGAAAAAGAAATAAGAGTTGATGGATAAGCATACAGTTTTATATTGCATTACATTTTTTTTATATTAAATTTTAACCGAGGACATGACACATTAACTCTTTTTTTTATTTGAACATTTTATATTGAGTGTTACAGTTTTAAGGTCACTGACATACAGAATGTTTTATCAATGCTTATGCTTTGATATATTTGCTATTGTGGTTGTGTTTGAAGTCAGTAAAGGGAGCAGGACTAAATAAATTAACCCTCCTATGAATCGTGAAAAATTGATGATATGGAACATTAATTGGTGAATGCTTGATGTTATCACAGATAGGAAGAATAAAATAAATGAAATTTATCGTATGCGGTAGAGAAAGTTCCTTTGGGGAGCAATAAATCGTAAAAAGATATTTAATTGCGTGTATTTTAATTGATTTTTTGTGTATTTTTTTTTAATAACGAAGCCAGTTAGAAACTTTATACAGCATTTAGAAGAAAAAGTTTCAAGTTTCGGTTGTAGCAACAATTGCGTTCATTCCAAATGACTTCACCCCTCGTTGCTATTATTATTATGCTTAAAATTTTATAAAGTTCCATTTTCTAAATGCGATAAAACGTTATTAAATTCTTAATATGTCTAAAAACAACACGGAATACAAAAGAAATTTAAATTGGAACAGATTTTATAAGACTTCATTTCCACTTAGTAGATTTCAATTCAAGAATAGTTAAAGCACTGAATTTAAATTGTCTTTAAACAAACAAAAAGTTTCCAGTTGATTATTTAATAAGGTGAGGATGAAAATAAAGAAAGTACAAATATCTTGGCTCGTAAATAATTAAAGTAAATACGAAACCAGGTTTTATACTTTTCACGCAAGGCATCTAACCTCGTTAAACGAAAGGAAACGCGATTTTATAAAAACAAGCAGTAAGAAGATTTGATTTAATTATGAGAAAAAGGATAAAGTTGGGTCTAACCACATTACAGCAAAGGAAGTTTTAGAATCAATATCTTGAATTATTTTTAGATCTTCAAGATTAATAATTTATAATTCTTTTAAAATAGTTTTTCAGCTTGTGCTATCTTGTCGGGGTTTTCAAAAGAATTTTTTTCCATGGTCATAAATTAATCATAAACGGATATGATAGTTGTAAAATAAACTGTTCAAAATTCTTTTGAAATTCATAGATATTTCTATCAGCTTATTTCTAAAGTTGGTTTGTGGTAAATTTATTTTATTGACTTTTAAAAGAATTAGGGACAACATCGTTTTCTAAGAAGATACTTGTCAAAAATTCATGGAATTTGAAGCTTCTTAGTCCTTAGTGGTCAATTTCAAATGATGAAGCAAATAAGTTTTTTGTGATGTTCTTTACCCAAAGAACTTGACTTGGGTAGACTTGCTGACACTTCAAGATTTGCACTATTAAAATTCCAATCTTTGGTTCTAGTTTCAATGGTTTTTCAAGTTTCTGGAAAGGAATTCCCGATCCTTAACTACGTCAACCTTTATTTTACTCTAATCCTACATCTATTTTAGGTATTCTTGGGTACACTTTTGTGTACACAATAGAGATGGGTGCCGTAAAGCTTGTCATTAAATTAGAATCGAAGGATTCAAACTTTCGATTTTTGAGCTTCCAAACCAAATTTTGAATAAATCTTCTTCTTGATTCTTCCTTAGAGACACTTAATTGCTCGCTAGATTCATCACACCACATTATATTAACACCTCACTAATTCTTAAAGCTTGAAAATAAACTCCTTTTAAACATTAATATAACTAGAACACGATGAACTCTCATGCAAAAGACTTATTTGAATTAAAATATTCCTAAAATAAATAGACTAGAATTCAGCAAGCTCTTCACAATGTACACATGTATTTGAGGGTCTTTTATATAAATTTGTAATCATACAGAAAATATTTACCAGACTTAAGGATGGAATGCTTATTTCCTAACATCTAACATAAGAAAATTAAATTTAAATTAAGAAAGAAGAGGAAGGAAAGGTACAATAAAGGTAGAATAGAAGGACGCGTAAAACACGATAGTGATGTAAACCTTGATGGAGAATGGAAAAAGCAGAAGAATGTTTTTTGTGCAAATATTCAGCATTTTTTGCTCATTCCTTTCGCATTTATAGTTACTTAAAGGAGAACTAAGAGAGAATAGAAAGAAAGTGGATGGTAAGCATATTTACGAAACCCCCCTTTTTGTATTATGATGCTTAACAATCTTGTACACAGTATAAAAGAATATTAAAAAGAATTCCGGTAACATGAGATGTGGGTGTAATAAGTAAAGGAAGGAAAATATTCTCACGTTATCACGAGAGCACTTCTGCTGAAAATGAATTTCTCATTCTGCCTTTATTCATCTCATTTTTATTTTGAAAGTCATTCAATTACACCAATGCCCAATTTCAGTCAAATCATAAAATCAAACAGTAAGCAAAAAAGAATCTTGTTGCTTATACACACTTATACAAGTATATTATTGCCAAGGCATCGACAAAAAAGAAGTTGAGTCATGATGTTATAATGTCATCATTAGATAGTAAACCATATGCATGAATATTTATCAGAATTGAAAGGAAAAAGTCGATTTAAATAATTTATCGAATTCTTTTCTAGCAGTTCTTTTGTTGAAAAAAGCTTTCATTATGCATTCAGCTAAGGATTCATCTCGTGGTTCATTTGTCATTCTGAATACGCACATCCAAAGCTCAACATCTTTTTTATACAATAAATCGTATGGACAGGGTTGTGGCTGAAAAGCTTTTTGTCTAAAATTTCCAAAAACTCTCAAAGGAACATAGTGAAAGTATCTTGGGATGTCGAAAACACACAGATTAGATTAACCTGGATAGTCCTTAAACCAATAAGATCCCAGTTTCATCCCTGCATTGCGATGCACACACCATCCAATATAAGAAAAATCGAAAATCACATAAAACACAAATGATCCAATAAATTTTTTGTTCTGCAAAAAAAAGCTTGTTGACGGCATCATTTTTTATTCAGTCGTCAATATTATCCGCACATACACATCCATATTTATATGAGAAAAATATATTCAATGACAATACATGCCATTGCCTTTTAATATTCAAACGATGACTTTCCAACAACATTACATTACATGTTCTGATGGGGAGGGATAGAAGAAGAATTCATTGTCGTGAATGCCTACTTCTAGATATTTTTATGATGATTATAAGAAGATTTATTTATTATTGAATAACCATAATATCCATAAAATTCTTTTCATGCCTCCTTTTTCTAGATATGTGATAACAGAATTACTTCAATCAGATCTTCATAAAATTATTGTGTCACCGCAACATTTGTCTGCTGATCACATTAAAGTATTTCTTTATCAGATTTTACGTGGTCTCAAATATTTACATTCAGCTCGCATTCTTCATCGCGACATTAAGCCCGGAAATTTGCTTGTCAATAGCAATTGTGTGCTTAAAATTTGCGATTTTGGGTATGTTTCATATTTTATTGCTCATATTCTTGTGAAATTAATAAACTTTTTTGCTTTCAAATGTGTAGACTTGCTCGTGTTGAAGAGCCCGATCAAACGAAGCATATGACACAAGAAGTCGTTACACAATATTATCGTGCTCCGGAAATATTGATGGGCGCAAGACATTATTCAGCAGCTGTCGATGTATGGTCAGTTGGATGTATATTCGGTGAATTATTAGGTCGTCGCATACTGTTTCAAGCACAAAGTCCAGTACAACAGGTAAATAATTATAGATTATTGAGTTCAATCTAAATCACAAGATTCCATTAAATTCTATAGCTCGAATTGATAACTGAATTATTGGGAACGCCATCAATGGAAGATATGAAACACGCTTGCGATGGTGCTCGAACGCATATGCTTCGGAGAGTGCCAAAGCCGCCTTCATTATCAGCATTATATACGTTAAGTTCTCACGCAACACATGAAGCTGTTCATCTGTTATGTCAAATGCTTGTCTTCGATCCGGTAAGAATGAACATACATAACACTAAAAGCTCAACGATTTATTGTTTTCGTGCCGTGTCTATTGATTTACAGGATAAAAGAATATCAGTAATCGATGCTTTAGCACATCCATATCTCGATGAAGGGCGATTACGTTATCATTCATGCATGTGCAAATGTTGTTATACAACATCCGGTGGAATGAGACAATATACCGCTGATTTTGAACCTGCCGCAACACAACCTTTTGATGACTTATGGGAACGTAAACTCACTTCTGTGCAACAAGTTAAAGGTGAGTTTTCATTAGAGACAATTAATTAAAATACTGCTGTATGCTTGACTCCATTTAATTATCTTCCATCTCATTCTTTTCATGTTTATTCATTCACAGAGGAAATGCACAAATTTATAGCCGAACAGCTACAAACTGGTCGTGTACCACTGTGTATAAACCCACAATCTGCAGCTTTTAAAAGCTTTGCAAGGTGAGTAACGATTTTAATTAATTTTATTTTATTTTTTGTTCCTCTCTTTTATTATTTTGTTTTTTCTCACATTTAACAATCAAAATTTAATTTTATTTTTATTTAAAATTTTTTTTGTTGACTCACTTTAGTGTGCAGATTAATTTTTAAATTTTTATTCTTTCGGTCTAAATTTAACTTAAAATAATTAATTAGATTGAGTAATTTTAGAAATGAAATTTAATTTATTGAATGGTTTTCGAACCATTTCCTTCATCATGATAAATCCCTTTTTGTTCCTAATCATTCGAAATTCCTACAATTTAAAAAACAAATAAATAAATTTCACTATAAAAGAAAGAAAAACCAAAAATGAAGGAAGAACATAATAATAAAGATAAAATATAAAATATATAGAAAGGAAATCCCAGAACAAAAAAAAATTAGCATATCCACAAAACTTTGGCTGACCAAATGATCCAAACAGTCATTAATAATTATGAAACTACACAACCCAATTAATTATTTTAAAAAAATATATATATTCAAAAATTATTCATTTCACATATATGTACTTAAACTTTTTTTAATGACAATAAAAATTTTCTTTATTTTTCTAGACAAAAGTAAATGAATTAAAAAGAATAATGAATGTCAAAATACGAAGAACATTATTTCCTTATAAAGTAAAAAAAAATACTGAGAAATTGTAAACATTTCTCCTTGAAAAATGAAAAAAAAAATGAAATAGTCTTAACAATACACACGCCTATAAGTAATGAATAAATTGCCAAAAATTGTGCAATTACCACTCGAAAAAAAAATATGTAACTCAACTCTTGATGAAATCATAATAATAATCATCTCACCAGATCGTCTCTCTCTCTAGGTGTGTCTCCCTTTAAATTTATTTTATTTTTACATATAATATACTCATTGCATATGAAAAAAAAATTATTAAAATAACAATAATAATATTAATAAATATATCTTTTGTTGTTAATTATGTTATTTTTGCATATTTACATCTTTTCATTTTTAACCACATTTTTTTCCTTCCATATAACTTATTTACTTTTATATATTTATAAATGTTATATTGTTTATATGGATCCTATACATACATATATTTGTTTTATAAGTATATAATCAGGGCGCGTTCAGTGCTTTGTTGTTAAATTCACATATTTCTTTACGATTATTACCTATTTCGGCACAATATTGATGATAAAGTTTTTAAAATTCCGGATGTATAATGAAATAATAATAATATTGATTTTTATCATGGAATCATAAATATAAACAAAAGTGCTGTACGTTCCCTGAATTTGAAATTTTTTTTCTTTTTGTGAAAATCTAATTTCCTCAATATTGCTAATTCACTTTTTTTCCCTCAATCTTTAACATGATTTCAAAGAGCATAAAGGAGAATAAAGTCTCTCTCAAGATTCTTGCGCGTTTTTGCTGTTTTTTTTTGTTCATTCATGGCTTTTGAAAAGACGAAAAGTGCTTAACTTGATTAAATGATCAAATAGCGAAAGATTCTTTTTAAATTTAGAATAATTCATAATTCTTTCAAAATTTCTATTTTTTAAGGGGGTCATTCACAAATGATGTCAAACTAATTCTACTAGAACCTTTCTTATCAGCCGCAAAGCTTTCAATCTAGCTTTTATATTTTTTCATCCTATTTCTGACTATTTCAATGCCATCATAAAACTTCAAACAATCCTTAAACACTGAATGTCGTTCATGAACGATCCCAAAGACCTCTCCATTTTCTTAAAGTCTATACAGCTTTGATAATAATATGTAAATTATAAAGATGTAAATGAGACTCTCTTTCCGCCCTTATTCATCCATTAACACCCATTTCAAAGTGACTAAAACAAACAGCAAAAACTGTGGCATGCTTAGGATGGCCATCCAATATGGATAGACACAAAAAATGCATTCAAAAATGATGGTCATCCTAGGAGTTCTTTATAAATGGTGTTAATCAAATGTTTTGAATATCAGACCCACTCTTCTCTGTCACATTTAAGAATTTCAATTTCATTTGGAAAAGTGACAAAGTAACAGACCCTCACTATCAAAAATATAAGCATCATTTATTAACGACCCATTGACATAAATTTATTCTTCTTTATTGCATCGTGCAGCACTAGAAAATTCAAATTTCATTTATGTATATGGATTATATTCAAATTAATGATTTCTTTATGGTTTTTTGATTTTGATACGCATTGTTGGTTCTGTTGGAAAGTACATGTGAATTTATTTTATTTTTCATTTTCAAAAAAATTATTGGCATGCTTAAACTTCTGATTATTAATCAGCATTATTTAAACTTTATTTCGGAAGCAAAATTCTCTATGTTTAATGTCTGCATATTAAGTTTCCAACAGAGCAGCGTTCAAGCACTAACAAAAGTTATATTTATCATACATTTCATACTAATATGAATGAATATTTTTTTTTATTAATTTCTTTATCTTTATTATTGAATTTATAAATTATAATGAGAAATTGAAATCAATGCGATCTCTCGATATCAATTTTCTGTATTTCTGATTCATTTCATATCAAATAACGACGAGTATAAGAGACATTATTGCTTTCATCTGTGCGTTATCATTTTCTGACTCAAGAAGAGCAGTTTCTAAGGCACGAATGTGAGGAAATTGGTCCCATGCGTATAATTTTTTATTGTTCTTCTCGTTCTCGATTCATAATGACATGTTTGTCAATTTATTTCCATTCATTGACACTTTCGTGTCTCGTTTCGACAAACAAATCATAAAATCAAGGAAGGATATCAAGCTTGTGCATTTTCATGATAGAAATTAAATAGTTTCTGTTTCAAATGCAATTGAATGAGAACTTTTGATGATTATTTGTCAATTTGATGATAATATTTCGACAGAAGTTTCTGGATATGACTAGGGGAGAACATAATAATGGGTAATAGTTTTTGATTGAAGGTTTTCCATCATTTCCCGCAAAAATTAAGTTCAAATTTTTAATTATCAAAATAGGTTCATAACCTTGATTAGAAACTCCGATGAAAACTATTTCCAATCATATAGTTATCCCCCTGAAAAAAGCACAATTTCCTCTTCTAAATATCAACCGCATAAAAATGCTCTTTTTATTCAAAACAATATCCTTATTACTTTAGCACAGATGATCTGAGAATATGAAAATGAAAATGTTTTTATTTCTTTCATTTTACTGCCATTTTTTTCATGCTTTTATTTTTTGTTATCTCTAAAGATTTTCATCATATCGTATAAAGAACATATAGAACAAACAATATAATAGAAAAAAATAGACAAATAAGTAGAACGATAGAGGACGTAAGAGAAAGTTTATTTTGTTTCTTTTTGCAAAACGATTCAATCTGGGATTTCTTAAAAATATTTTCTATCAAATAATTAACAATTTAATAAATTTATTTTTAGTTCCATGCTTTTGTTTGGAATTCCTTTCACATAATTTTCAAAATGGTTTAATATTAACAAGAATTGCGAGAATTTATTTATTTGTTTTTTGAAGATGAAGTTTTTTTGCTTCTAACTCCTTCATTTTCGCTCTAAATATGTCTTCGTGTACATTCCTATCGCTAGATGTAGTTTACGGATGTGTTCTTTTCTGATTGTTTTGTGTGAAGGACAAATTTTTATGTTAAGGATAGATTTTTTTGATCGTAGCTTTATTTTAGTTCCTTTTTGTTTGGTTGAATAACTTTTATTTATGCATTATTGTTTCTCTGTTTGAAACTTTTTTTGAAGTAGGAAATTCATCGATTCCTGTAGTTTATGGTTTCTATTTAAATATTTGTTATTGGAAGTTTGATATTTTGAATATTTCTTTCGGAACGGACATAGTAATAATATTGATCTGAGTGAATAGTAATAGGATATTTAAATTACTAATCAATTTGGATTGAGGAACTTTTGAAAATTAATTAGATTTTTCAATATGATTTAAGATTCTAAAAACAATGGGAAATCTCAATAGTTCAATGAATCAAATATTGAATTATAATGAATTGAGAATTTGAATTTAAATTTAGAGATTCTTCAAAACTTTCAGTGAGGAATTGCAAAATTTAAAACTCTGAAATTTAAGTAAAATTTCTAGTGATCAAAGAAAGTTTTGGCACCAAACTGGTTCAAATTTGCATCAAAATAAAGAATGTCAATTAAGATTTTCATAAAGATTTCATAAGTTGAAGATTAATCTTGAAATTTTAATAAACCTTTAAGTTTACTTAAACTCAAAATAGATCATAACAATTGCTAGTTCATAATAATGTTTATCCTGACTTGTGCTCTTTAAAAATAACAATCCTTTGAATTCAGAATAAAAATTTCAAACAAAGTTCTCCTGACCATGAAAGAACAATTGATTTCATTATAGAAATTGAAAAACTTTCAAGGAGATTCCCACTTATTTATGAGTATTTAGCCTTGTTTCGAAAGAATACATTCCATAAACCTTCTTTTCTTCCATTAATATTATCAAAGTAGTTACGCAAACCTTTCAGAATGTTTTCACATTTTAACAGCAAACTTGTAAACGAATTATCACTCGTTCGAACTTTGGAACCGCGATAAACTAGAGCTTTTGATGATTTCCTACTTTTTTTTCACTTAAAAATCTTTTCAATTATCACTTTACCGTTCAAAATGATTGATTGTAAACATTAACACGTACGTTATTGTTGACAAACGTATTTATTGTGTTTGTTGCTATTTGCGGATTAAATTATGCTAAATGGTAACAGTTTGTATGCGTACGTAAATTTTTGCATGTTTTTCTTCGCTTATTTATTATGATTGGTTATTGATTTGGTGTAAATTTGGGTGTTGTGATAAATTTCTATTAGTATTTTCAATAAATCTCTTTTATTGCTATCTATACTACAACAATAAACTATTATCATAATTCATTTTCAATAACATACAGTGGGGGAAATAATTATAAACGTGTTGGTATTTTCAAAATTCTCGAAAATATAAACAGTTTCAAAAAATGTGTTCTATGTGAAAGTTGTGCAGTTTTGAATGAGAAATAAAACGGTAAAAAAATTTTTTAATTATATTAACCAGGAAAAAAATAACGGTCATTTTTTGAAAAATATGCCTTTCGCAAGAGGAAATAATTATAAACGAATTAGAAAAAAATTTAAAAAATTGATTTTAAAATTGAAATTCACACTAGTTTTTAATTGATTAAGGTATTTTAAGATTGTATGAATCTTATTTGACATAATACGCACAATAATTAATGGTTTAAAAATATAAAATTTTGTCAAAAAATTGGCAAGGACTGAGATGAAAAAAATCAATGTTTTATGACAATTTAGCGATAATAACGCCTCAATTGCATAAGAGAATGATAGATTTTATCACAATTAATAGTAAACAACAAAGAATTTGTAAAAATATAGCCAGAATTAGTAAAAAAGAAGAAAAATTTGAATGACTCAGCCAATGCAATATGAGAAATTTTTAAAATTTTCTCTCAAACAGAAGTTTAGACCATAAAATAAGGATGATTTCTTCTTAATTTTATCATATCTATAATTTAAATAAGATATAAGAAAGATTACTCGAGATATATTTGCAAAAAGTTGTAAAAACTTAAATCAACCGTAACATATGAAGTTGCAAATTTATAATTTGTTTAAAAAGTTACAGATTCTAGGTGGAAAGGCTACAAAGAGACTATTAATGAAGAAAATAAGATAAATTGTGAGAGAACTGTTAGTTTTGGGTGGTACTAAGATCATTTTAGCAAAAATATAAAACTAGCATTGGTTGAAAATTTCAAAGTCATGCGCTTATTAGTTATTCACAACTTTTTGCAAATATATCTCGATTAATCTTTCTTATATCTTATTTAAATTATAGATATGATAAAATTAAGAAGAAATCATCCTTATTTTATGGTCTAAACTTCTGTTTGAGAGAAAATTTTAAAAATTTCTCATATTGCATTGGCTGAGTCATTCAAATTTTTCTTCTTTTTTACAAATTCTGGCTATATTTTTACAAATTCTTTGCTGTTTACTATTAATTGTGATAAAATCTATCATTCTCTTATGCAATTGAGACGTTATTATCGCTAAATTGTCATAAAACATTGATTTTTTCCATGTCAGTCCTTGCCAATTTTTTGACAAAATTTTATATATTTAAACCATTAATTATTGTGCGTATTATGTCAAATTAGATTCATACAATCTTAAAATACCTTAATCAATTAAAAACTAGTGTGAATTTCAAGTTTAAAATCAATTTTTTAAATTTTTTTCTAATTCGTTTATAATTATTTCCTCTTGCGAAAGGCATATTTTTCAAAAAATGACCGTTATTTTTTTCCTGGTTAATATAATTAAAAATTTTTTTTACCGTTTTATTTCTCATTCAAAACTGCACAACTTTCACATAGAACACATTTTTTGAAACTGTTTATATTTTCGAGAATTTTGAAAATACCAACTCGTTTATAATTATTTCCCCCACTGTATTAAGGTGTAATAAACGATAATTTAAAATTTAAACTTTAGCAGAACACAAAAAAATTTATTTGTCATAATCAAAATTTAAAATCTGCATAAATTTACGATTTTCATTTCTTAACTTTTTTTTATTATTTTCTTTTATATTTTATTTATTTTTTATTTCTTTTTCTTTTTCAATCATCGTTTATTACAGAAAAGAACCAAAAGATTGTTTCGATTTGCCGTCCTCTTTGAAGATGACATTAAAAATTTTACTATCTCCAGTAGTGTTTTTATATGCGGCATAAACATTGAATTAAGCATTTTAATTTTTGTTTTTGAATTTCAATTCAAAACCCCACACAGATATACTCAGTTAAAGTAATGATAATAATAATAATAATTACCAAAATATTGTTCTCAAGAATTATTGTTTAAGTTCAGATTAAGTTTTAAGAAAGACAATAAATACTCAGAAAAGAGAAATAAATCAGGAATCAGGAAATTAATAATGAAACCAATGCCAATGATATCAAAGTTTCCATAAAACATATTAACAAAAAAAAAGAAAAATAATAATAATAATAACACAATTTGTAAAGTCTCACTACCTCTTATTTGATCATACACTACACACAATGTATATATATGCATACATAAAACGTATAAAATTTCGCTTTAAATATCACTATTTTATGTTACAGGCAAGTTATTTTTTATTTTTCCTATTTTTTTATCATTTCTCATCTACACACTACTCACCTACCTATTTCAATAACTGCCCTATTTAGGTGATTATCAATTGAAATAACAATAATAATATTTAATAATGTTATTAAAATTGTATATTGTATATAAATTGAAATATCATGTTACCAATGGGAGGAATAATGCGATTTGAAAATTCAATTTTTGCTGGCCTGAGCGTATTGCAGTAAAAAATGGTGCTATTTGTAAGCTTCCGTGATCAGGAACTTTGTACATTTCATCATGAACTAAGATTACCTCGAGAATTGTTTAGATTTTAATAGACTTATAGTGTTGTTATAAAGGGTACGGTACAATTTGTAGATTCTCAATAAAAATAGCTAGAAGGTCTTTATGAGCTGTTATTGAAAGTTGTTAACAGGCTGTTTTAATAAGAACTCAGGGATACAACATAATCTATAGCAGATAATGTACATCTTAGTGGAACAATAGACATGACATTTAGTGTTAAATTGTCGTAGAACTACAACTTTTACGAAACGTCCCTAAAAAAATGTCGTTAACCGACCATACATCTAGTTATTAATTACATCTGGTGTACTCGAAGTATGGTCACTATAATGTCAATAATCGAAGGTGCAGCCACCCTAACATGATAGCATATGCTCACTGAGCTTGATACGTTACTAGTAAGCTCTTTAGAGTCTCAGTCAGCATATGCTGGTATGATGGAGCTCAGCATGTTTTTTGTCTCTTAGGGGACTATCCCAAAATTGTCGTAGTATAAAGTAACTGACTTTAACATTTCTAAATGTAATCTTTCTACCCCAAAAACCTCAAAAGAGAGCTAGTCAATGTCCGAAAGTTCAGGAAACTTAACTGTTGTAAAATTGCTGTTCCAGCAATAAAAAGAATCTAAATTTAATTTATTTCAAAGTTCTTTGGAACAGAGTTCAACAATCCATGTTTAATTTGTTGCTACATCTTTTAACAATGTTTTTTAGCCCACAGATTTGAGCTATTGTAATGACTATCATACTCTTTGAACGTGAATACGTGGATATTATAGGTAACAATAGCCCGTGAGAGCTAAGCTGCAATAAAATATTTTTTATTGGTTCCATAAAAGAATTTCGCAATGAAAATGTCCCGATATTCTTGACTATAAATTCATAAATAAGAACTTAAGGATATAAAGGTTATTTCAACTATAATCTGTACTGCAATATGCTGTTGGCATCAAAATTGAAGTTTCTCAAATTTTATTTTCCCCATTGGGTATTGCAAAATGATGTTATTGTTATTTAATTGATATTATACCTATTAAACACTTTTGCATCATCAATTGAAATGAAAACAATAATGAAACAATTTCTGTGTACAAACTTAATGCTGCCCCTGATTTCAAAGTGCATTATAATTTATAAATTACAACTCTTTTTTTTTGTGGGAAAATTAAATCTTTTTTTGTACAAATTGTCGGCAACTAATTGAAACAATTTTGTTGTTGTTTTAGCTGTAAATTTGAATTTTTTCATGTATCTCTATGCATATCTTTGATTTATGTTTTATTGTTGTTGTAAATACTTATTTTTTGTATATTTTATTGCAATTGTTTTGATTTTTGTGAATTTGGCAAAATTGCATATTTTATTAATTTTATATTTTTTATCATATATTTGCATATTAAATACTCTTTATTTTCCTTTCACATTTGTCACGCACACACACACACACAAATAAACATACACATGTTAAAAATGGCACAAATGTGTATGGACACACAAAAAAATATTTAATTTTCTAACAAGACTAATTCTATTATACTTAAAAATATTTTGCAAGCTAGACTTTAAGACGAACGTAATTTGTATGCCGTAACTAATTTTTTAATTTCTATTTTACAGTTCAACTGTTGCTCATCCCTCAGAACTTCCGCCATCACCGCATCAGGTAAGTGGTTTATATCTTCTGATTGTTATCTGAATTGTGCTCACCTTATCGTCTTGGGTATTAAATTGTTAATCTTAGGCTTGACTAGAGAGTGTTGGGGATGTGGTTTCAAAACAACTGAATCGTAAATTTTCAGCCTTATCGCTTGATAGGCTATGAATCATGAGGTTTTGTGCTGAATTTTGAGTTGAGTTGAATTTTTCTTGTTAACTTGTTTAACTTGATATTTTTCGAAATGACTAAGGCAGGCTGAAATTGGAATTTTTGAGAGGCAGAGGTGGGTTATGAAGTTTATTCATAGAGAGGATTGTGGCCTCAAAACTACCTCCTGATTGGGTAAAGTCGACAGCATTTTCTCTGTTGGAAATCGAACCCATATTGACATAATAATGAATTAGAGATTCAAGGATTGTTGATTATCCAATGTAGACATAAATAACTTAATCTAGCTCTCGCAGATACACCAACATACACCTCAAACCTCTCAGATTCAACTCTACAACATTACAACCAAGGGAATCCCAAAAAACTTAATCAATAATCAGTGGGAATTTCAACAAAATAATTCATAACGTCAGAAATTTTCAAGTCTGGACGCAATTATTCAGATATCAATTAAGTTGATTAGCCTTAATTACATTGATCATTATTATTGATTACCACTAATATATAACTCTTTTTATTCCTCTATTTACAGTGGTCTTGAAGCTCTTTCAACTGTAATCAATGCTACATCAGAAAGGCAACAGCCGCATAATCAAATAAATTCAAAAAAATTAAGAATGAAACAATTCGATCAATTTAAAACAAAAAATATGATTGCCAAAAAATAATCCCAATCTCCGGGTCTATATCCTCACAACAAAAAACAAAACAAAAAACAAAATCTCACTACAAAAAAAATTTAATATTTTTTTTTCTGGCATTTCAATCATCTCGAAATTGATGGAGATATGAAATATTGGAAGTTCTTCTTATTATTTTTTTTCTTTCACACATTAAAATCGATCGACAACTTTTCTTTGCTTTTCTCACGCTTTAACGATATTAGAAATTATTACACACACAAATACAACCACAACAGTTTTTACCGTCAATAAACTAGTCGTCGTTCGGGGAAAAAAAATTGATTAAATAATGGAACATGATAACAATACTTATAATTGATGATGACAGTGATGATAACTTTTTTTTTGCCAAAATCTTTTAATGCACACACAATAGATAATCATTTCGAAATTTGATGGCAAACTTTAAAGTTTGTAAGACAAAACTGCTGCTCTTAATTTTTTTTTTATGTACATGACTCAGAAAAAGTGAAAGAAATTTTTTGTTTTTGACATAATGAGAGTAAGAAATAATAACAATGTAAATAGTTAATGTGAACAGAAAATAGAATTAAGTTTCATTCCGTTTTTATTATTATTTCTCTTGAAAAAAAAAATGATTAGGTACATACACACTTATATACATAATATGAGCTTTAAAATGTAAGAAAGAATGAAAGTCTTTTATTTCGTGTAATTTTTTGCAAGAACACTGCCGGATAAAAAAAATGAAGAATCTTAGTACAGTTAAAAACAAGTACAGAATAATAAAATTCATGTATTTTAATTAAGTCTTTTTTTTTGCTCTCCTGTGCTTGTCTTTTAAAAAAAACAAGAATGAGGAAGATTTTATACCCGCCATCAAACTGCTAAAACAAAAACATAAAAAAAAACTTTTTCTCACTTGTAAATTTTCCTGCGTCAACAGAAATGATTAGTGTTTAGCAATTCAAATCAATGATTCTCATGAGAGATTCCATAAAAATATAAAAAAATGAAAATGTTTTATGTGCGAGACAAACTTTTAGCTTCTTCGTTTTAGACAAGATAAATTTATTCAAACAAGAGAGTGAAGTAGAAATTACAATATAATTAATTGATAATTGTAGGCAACTTTTACATGATAAAATCTAGCTTTTTTCGGAATTAAGCTCTGGTGGAAGATTAGTGGGTGATTTTAGCATTTTTGAGAACGTTTTGGAAAGTTGAAGAATTTTGATATATAATTAAAATCCTTAATCTTAAAGTTTAACCTTTGTTTAGTAACGTTTAAGACTAGGTGATAGCTAAGCATATACAAAAGCTACTATATTACAGCTAGGCAGCTTTCCAAAGGTTCCAAATCTAATTGAACAATCGAATTCAAAAAAGTAAAAAATTGTCATTAAAGCGGGAAAATTAATCTTGCGTTAATTTGCTTGATTTATGCTATAAAGTTTTTTCAATGAAATAATCATTGATTCATAGCATAAAGCAGCGAAATTAGAGCGAAAAGCTTCTAATTTCAAAAGATTTGAATAAAAAATACCTAATTCCAAATTTCAAAACTCATGGTTTTTTACATGAATCCTAACCTTAAAAGTTCTGGATCATTTTATAAAATTTATCAAACATCTGCAAAACCACCAAACCTGCCAAAACAACCCGAGCAAATGTGACTGATATTTCTAAAATTCAAATCAGTCTAATTCTATGATTAACAAACGAATTGAAAATTATCTAATTAGGAAATTCGAATATTCTTCATAGCGAGTTCTTCTTATGCTTATTTTAATCTTTAAATTCCTCTAGACATTATTCGTGCCCTCAATATTAATTGATCATCAAGCTCGTTGTTGTCAAGGGAATAAAAAAAAAAGAAATAAAATAATAAAAAAAATTAAATGTGTGTTAAATTAATTTAAAATAATTTGATCAATTGGGTCACTTTATAAAGTTTATCTTGAGACAAAATGAAGATGAATATTGGATATAAACATATATTATATTTAATGTACCTAAAAAAGAAGAATAAACAAAATAGTGTGTCTTAACAAAAATAAAACAAAAATGAGAAAAAGATTGCAAAAAATTAAAGGCAAAATTAGGAAAGAGTTATTGTAAAAATGAAAAAATGAAGAGTTAAGCAATTGAATGTAGCTACACATTTCTAAAACTGAGAAAGAGAAGAAAAAAATTCGTGTATAGTTATTGAGAAAGAGACAGACTTATTGAGTTGAGGTTGCATTAAGATTGATTACTCTGAATTGAATTGATGAAAACATAGATTTTTGTTTATCTTACGAAAGAAAATATATCTAATTTAATTTAATAGATCATGAAAGAAGAAAAAGGAAGAAAAAAAATATTTTTGTATACAATGTATTATTGAAAATTGCGCTTGAATGTTTACGGAAAGACGCCAAAAAGCCCCACGTAGGCGAATTCTTTTTTTTAAAAAAGTTTTCCTTTTATCCTGAATTGGGGTCATTGATTTATGATATTTTGAACTTAAGGTTGGAGGTCAGATAATGGATTTTGATGAAAGTCCACATACGTCATATGATATCTTTAAAGTAATTATTTTAAATTCAATTGGATTAGTAAATTTTGTCTATAAATATCTAGTGCTGTCTATTGATGCTGTATATCTTCTGGATCAAAGCATTCATCATGTAAGAAATATGGAAATTTAAGAGTGATTCCTTCACATTAGTGTGCGATGATGCTCTTAATTTAGACAGCACTGACCTAAATTCTTTATAACCTAGCGCAATTTCTTTTGAACTTCATTTCTAAATGTATAAAAAAATTCCAATTTTTTTTTCTTTAAAATAATTTTACGGTTGATTTTACTAAAGTGAATAATTTTCACTAAATTAACGCATTCATTGTCAGGATCGGTCTCTGGATATACTGCAGTATATCCTCAGATTAATTAGATTTAATTTGTAAGAGAATAAAACGGATTTTTCTGAGATCTTAATAAAAAGTTAATCCATAGATTAATATCAAATATCAAGATTGATTTACTTTTGTTAAATCAACCTCCTTAGTGTTTAATTATTAGATTTTTTTTAAATTAAATTCGTGAGGATTTTTCTGAGAAATAATTAAAAATTCTTTCACTAAGATCTCAAAAACCTGAAAAATAAGCAAGAAAATTGCAAAGTAGATAAAAAATTTGTGCTAAAAAATCGAAAAAAAAATCAGATTTAGGATTCATTTGTCATGACTTAAGTATTTTTTTAAGATTTTAATTTTTTTTTCGTCTCTTTAAGGAAGAATTTTGTGCTGGATAATCTATCGTATGTGAAAATCAGATATCCTCTTATTTATCGACAAATGTTTGAAGAATAAAGATGTTAATTATCGACTTAACTTTCCAAATTTTTTGGGTTAAAATGATTTTCAAGGATTTGAGATGGAAAATTTGTCTAACGACTAGCTGATCAAATAGACTTATGTGTACCTATTGCATACACTAGAATATATCTCCTGTAAGGTGAGAATCAGAACTCGAAGTCTATGAAATTTTGTATGGAGTCGAGTTGACTTCGAGCTCTGATAAGAATTTACCTAGTGAATGAGGTTATGGCCTGATGTATATCAGTTAAACCGATCCTAGTACACTAAAAATACCTAGTTCCGACTATCCAAACATTTTGTCGATTTTTTTAAAATTCAAAAAAAATTAAACCACCAAAAAAAAAATTTGCGTGAATTTTAGAAATTAAAATATTAAGCCTTGAATTATGCGGCAAATTGCGACAGAGAAAAAAAAAAGAAAAATTGTTTAATGAGAAGAGAAAATAAATTTCAAAGGCACTCAAAATTCATCAACACTGTAAAATACAATAAAAAAAATTTGTGTGATATCATAAACATCATTAACCGATGAAGAGCACGATGGCTTCTTTATTCCACTTACATAAATAACACAAAAAAAAATGATAATGATTGTGACAACGGTAATAAATTATCGTTTTTATGCCAACGAAATGCTCTCCTAAATTAATAATTATAAACTTTACGATTTGCGGGGCTAAAAAGGGATTTTTATTTTTTTTTTTGGCTTGAGGAATGAAAGTTTATGATGAAGGAAGGCAAGAGGAAAATTTATGGAGCTTAAATCATCGTGGAATGCTTTAAGCTTCGTGCTTTTCTTCTACATTCTTTATCTGATGAAAATATAGCACGTTTCTCCCCGCAAATATGTAATCATGTAAATATATTCATTTCTCTGTTCTCTATAAACGAACAATACACAAAAAAAGAAAGTATATAAATTTAAATTTAATGAAAAAAAAGTGATAAGGAATTAGATTTTTTTTTGTGGTTTCCAGTTGTGAGCTGAAGAAAAAAAAAGAATTAAATTGATGAAGAGTAAAACAAAAAAAAAATCGAGAAAAAAAACTGATTTAGATTTAAGTTCTTCGTATCTCTAATTAATTTTACTTTTATTTTTGTCATTTCATAGTTCAATTTTTTATTGCTCTTAATTTTTCAAAAAATTTTAAACAAATTGATCGAAAAAAAATTAGTGAATAATTTTCATTACGCACTGATAAGACTTTGTTCAGGTAAAACTGGAGTTGAATTGATAAAATTTGATAGAGATGTGGATGATTATGATCTGGATGTAGCTCATATTGGTAATTGGTTTGACATCGAGTTCCAATCTTAAACGATACAAATTCACCGTCAAGAAAAATCACACGGCTGTCTAGAGAATCCTTGGTCGTTGCTTTGAAGCATCGCAAACTGTGTCAATCTAAAGCAGCCTTGTGATTGCCATCATTACGATGTGTTCCTCGGGTACTGATTAAAATTAAAAACCATTAAATCATCATACAGACAATCCAAAATTTATCATTTATCAAGTCTCAGCTAAGCATTGAGTTCCTCTATAATTATCACATCTCTAATTAATCGAAATTCAATCGAACTCCATTTCCTGTTATTTCTCTTAAATTCTAAATAAAATTATATTAATAAATTTAAATTGAAAGAAAAAACTATAATTATAATGAGTTTGATTCTGAATTTGTCAGTGTATGTCTCACTCATGTCTTTTTCACACACACACACAAAAGTAATGTTTCTGTATGTGAGATATTAGAATAGAAATTTATGATAATACAAATATATGAAGAGTAGAATTCAACATGAATGTATAAATTAAAATAATAATAAATGAAAAGAGAATCGTAATTAATTACATAAAAAGAAACTGTCTTATGTGAGACGGATGAACTTTTTTTTTTGTGGAAATAAACGAGTAAAAAGTAAAATGCTGACAAATTTTGTAAGATAAGTAAAACAAGTGAAATAATATGAAAATGAATAAAAAATACCGTTTGTAATAAATGAAATGAAGAAAAGAAAACAAAAAAAAACTTTACGAATTATTCTTTTATTTTTATCATTTTGAGTTAAAACTTCTTGACTGAGGGATCTGCCAACTATCAAGAATGTCTTCTTTTGTTTTTTTTTTGCAGTTATTATTTTTTCTGGATTATTTTCTTGTTGTCAAGCTAAGTTTATATAATTTAAATTTGATTATCCGCTATAGTTCAATCTTTGAATTCTTAGTCAAATTGAGTATAATTTAATCTTATTCAGCTCAACTTTGTTCAATTCAGAACTTTTCCTTTGAAAGTGTAGCTTTTCAATTCAATTTGACTTTGATCGTCCCAAATTGGATCTTTTAAACCTTAATTTGAGATATTTTAACCTTTATAAGTCAATTGCCATAATTTCAGACAAATTTCATAGTTTTTAAATTAATTCTTAATCTAATTCACCATTTTTAGATTGAAATCAAAATCTAAATGTTTAAAGCAAATTCTTTTGTATGGATTGAATTGATCAACTCAGCAATTTAAGTCAAATTTTATAAAATTTATACTTCAAAACTTTATTTTCTATTCAGCACTTAATAGTCGTGTTTTCTCTTCAATTCAGCAATTTGAAAGCTTTAATTCAGCGCTGATGATTTCAGTAAAACATATTTTAATATCCAAAGAAAACAAGAAGCAACTGCATAAACTATTAAAAGTTTGCTATAAATTTTGTCTAGAAATTCTTGATGATCTCCTTTTCCTCGCATCCCATTCCTTTTCATACTTTTGTTTCAGTTTATTTACTTTATGTTTGCAGTAATAAATTAGTTTTACATATTTTTAATTTATTTAAATGATGCATAATGTTCCTTAAGTAAGTATAATTTTCATTTTATAGTTTTAATTTCCATGAAAATCATGAGATTCACTTAGCACTGAGTAAAGTCTCATAAGTAGATATTTATAGAATTTTAAATTCTCAGTAGCTTCATCTGAGTTTATGGAAGAATCATAAATCTTTTAATTAATTATGATTTATTTATATGAACATTTATCAAGACTTTTCGGAGACTACTATCTCTGTGAAGATTTGAAAAGCTTGAAAGCATCTTGATTGTAAGCATAAATCATTCAGAACTACTTCTTGAACCTCATTATTAATAAAAGACATTAAAAAATTTATGATTTCATATCAAACTTCTTTATGAAATTCTATTAGGAACTGTCCTTATTCTTTTTTCTTACTTCAACTCTAGATGTATGTCAAATTTTTAAGTTTTATGGGAATTTGACCCTCTGGAATGTTTTCATACAATTTCTGTTAAAGTTGTTTCGGTGAAATTCTTATGCTTACATATTTTTCATGCATATTTTTACAGATATTTAAGGAAATGCCTAGAATTTTTTATGCTTTTATGCCATAAACATTTTGTTATGTTGATTTTTTATGACTCAATTTTGTGTCTAATTTATACAAAATGATTTTCTTTCAAACAATGAGAAACACAAACATAAGACTTAATAAAAATCGATAGAAATTGAATATTTTCATGATAATTTTATGTTTCCCAAAATAATAAAATGAAAAATGTAGAAAAAATTATGTTATTGTTGTGTTTTATGATGGGTTTGGCTTTTAACACTTAATTTTACATGAAAGTATTTAGTTTTTAATTGTCTGGGCAGAGCATCGTTGTATGTTAATGAACTTTGGAGATGTGGATTGAAAAACCATCATATGTAAGTGGTCGAGAATAAATAAAAAATTATGAAATATTCTAGATTGTCGCATTTGAATTTAAATTTTCAAGTTAAAATAAAGGATGCAGAATTGATCGAAATGTTTAGAAAGATCAAAAGAAATACATTTTGATCACTTCCACATCATTGATTAGAACCTTATTAAAATTTGAAACAATTCCAAATCATATCCAATCAAGAACTTTTGCAAAACTTCGATTTTAATCAAAACAACTTCAAACTGAACGCAATTTTCCAAAAATTCTCAATTGGATAAGCTTTGGAGTTATTAAGTGTAGGTAACATCCAAATTGAGAAGTACTCACAAACTCATTGTTAACTGAGAACTCAGCTATCATTAAGGTCCCATAAAATAAATTTCTAGCGGGTAAAAAATGCACAAATCATAAAAATTACCTATAAAATTGTGAATCATATAAATAATATGTAAAAGTAGTTTTCGGATGATTTCACTTATATGAATAATAGTAATTGTATAAGTAGCTCGATTTTATGATTTATGATACATATACTTAATTAATGAGAGTAATCATCAATATTGTGAGTAATTTAAAACTGAAGAGAAAGAATTGAATTATTTTTTGGTAGAAATTACTAATTTGTTTTATTAGATGACATGGATAGGATGTCTTGTTGTGAAACTAATCAAAACGTGATTGATGAACTTGCTTTACCAACATAGTTAAGTTTGTTTAAGACATTGGCAGATCTACAGTTGATTAAACAGTAAAGACAATAAAAACTGTTTTAAAAATCAGAAAAATTTATTAACTTTGCGAAAAACTTCCCTAGATTATCTCTCAAAACCACAATAAACAACATAATTAATCTAATTCATTTGAGTGAAATCACCTCTTTAGAGTAACAGTTAGAAATGTTTCATACAATTTTTATCATAAAAAACAAGAAAAAGCTTTAACATTAAAACATTTTTGGAAGTAGCTAACGAATAAAAATACTGAGAATAAACTTTTTATAAAGAGACAGGCTGCAGAACTATTGTCAAAATCAACAAATTAATTAAATATGACGAAAACTTGTCCAAATATCAAGAAAAAAATATTACAAATGAATTTCTCAGTTCTAAAATTCTACTTCTCATCATTATCATTTAAAAGTATGTAAAATTAAGAATGTCAAGTAACATTGCTTTAGCAGTAAAAATCTTTATGTTTTGCTTGAAAACAATTTCTGAAAAATGAATGAAAAGAGTAATGTGCATTTGCAGAATTAAAATATATCGATGTTTATAAACTACTTCACATAAGAGTGATATGCATCATCTAAGTGTCTATATAACCTTCCATATGAGGTAAACACTGTTGCAATAATATTCATAGACATAGCATTACAATTAGTATCTCTTGTATATAACAAAAGAGAGTTTAGCTTTCATTCCTATGACATGAAAGACTTCTTGTTTTTGGGAGTAAATCCTCTTTGTAAATAATTAAGGCCGTGAGTTTCATTGATTGAAACATGAAAAAAAATGAAAGAAAAAAATCCTGTAAAAATTTAATTATTTGTATATTATCGATGAAGTAACAGAGAATTTTGTGAATTAAATAATTAATTAAAAATGATAAAAGTTTTGTAGAAATTACATTCGCAATAAAAAAGATGATTTTGAATGTGTGACTAATGCAGATGAAGAAAAAAAATCAGAATTCGTACTTGTTATTGCTTCTTTTTCAGAATCGAGACATACAATGTGAACAAACTCTCGAATGGAAAAAGAGAGAACTGAAAGATAAACAAATGATATGAAGCGAAGACCTTTAACATAAATAAATACTGTCTTCGATATAAACAGCACAATTTTTTGTTATTGTCATCAAAATAGTTTATTTACTTCGGGGGTCTTTCATAAATGATGTTCTTCAACCCTCCTATTTTAATCTATCACGAACCTTGTCTTTTATAAGAAAGTGTCACCCAGCAACAGCCCTCCACCCCTTCTTCAAAAAATTGAACAATAATAATTTAAGTAAATGAGTATAACATCATTTATAAAGGACCCAATTCGCTTTTCGTATGGGATAATTTCTCTCGAATAAGTTTCAAACATGTCACAAACTTTTTATCACATTTAGAAAGCATGAGAATTGTTTGGTGTCAAGGAAATTTATTTAAGCGAGTTCATGGACTGAGTTCAGATGTTTTTCATACAAACGTAGATATTTAACTCATCCGGTGAAAGCCTTAAGTTGTATAAATTATGAAGGTTGATTCCATTAATGATTTTTGTGAATTTACTGGGATATTCAAAGTTGTTGGACTGTAAGTTGATAGTTTTATGAGCTTAGGATCAATGTTTATTTGGGCACACAATAATCTTTTCTGGCATCAGGATTTCAACGGGAGTATTTGGAATCATTCATAAATGACATCCTTTTTAAAAAAGGTATTTTTAGATACCACATATTGATTTATCTGGTTTTGATGCTTAGAACTGTAAAATCATTCAATTATGCTTCTAAAATCCTTTTTATATCCAAAACAAAACCTGAAGCACTTAACTGCATTATTATAATAGAATCAATCAAATACAATATTTTGAAAGCACTCAAAAATCAAGCGCTAACACAACATGCTGTTTAATCCTTTCAATGTACGAGACTTGAAAAATTACCAGTTTCTGTTTTCAAAAAAATAAAAAGTACGATGATTAGAAAACATATTTAATTCGTTGGTGCCCTATCATCATCGCTCGAGAATCAACGAATAACAAAATTTGTATAAGCGATGAAAACGAAAAGATAAGAAATGGTTAGTCATTATAACATCCAAAAAAGAAGGAACAAAATCAAGCTGTAGACTTTATGGTTCTTTCTACGAAACTTCATGTTGCTTTTCGTCTACGAATGATTAAAGAAAAACAGAGAGCAGCATAAAGATAGGAATAGAGAATAAAATAATAAAAAAAAATTAACACACAGCATTCACAGATGTTACTTAGTCCCTTACACTTTTCAATTTTTCTCTCCTCTTTCACAATTATGCTGGCTGACTGGTTGCATGCTTTGCTGTTGATCAAGTTCCGAGACAAATTATCGTCGATAAAACAAGAATACTTTTAGAGATGAGAATTTTTTCATTCTCTTACTTTAAAGGTTGTTTACAAATGATGTCCTATATGTTCTAGTATGTCCAATGGTCATGACCGGTATGATGTAAATAGCTAGAACGTCAGGACATAATTTTTTAACTTGAATGCTGTTTTGAAGTTGTTTATTCTTACTGATGAAGGACATGTATATTGGTACCAAATATGCATTCACTAAGGTCTATGGTATCCTGTAGACCCTTGACCATACTTTTTATAATCTGGAATCATTGATTACATCATAAGTGGACAACTCCTTAAGTATGAACTCTTTTTTATGTCGAGAAGAAGCTACAGTGCAGTGAAAAAAATTATTAAAGTTGATTTCACCTGAAACTTGGGTTAAGTAAATGACGATGCAGTATAGGATTTAA